AACTGACAACATGTTATGATACAGCTTTGCGATACTCTTCCGTCTGGTGCCATGCTCTGAGCGCCGGTCTTGCTGGTGATTGTAGGTGCAGTCTCGGGTTCCGATAATTGCTACATTTTGCTTTGGATTCGTGAGGCGGGCAAACTCCTGGCAAAAACAGACTGGGCAACTGCTATCCATTGCGAAGCAAACCAAAAACATTCCAAAACTGCTGTAAACTCATCAGTGCTGCTTGCAGGGGCAAAACTGACGAAATCTCCTTGATTGCTTCAGGGGTAAGAACACAACAGCCTTCTGCACAACGTTTTCAAGTTTGCTCCTCCTCTGGTGATGTCTCCCTGTCTGTCTCACCCTGCATCGAGGTACTCAACAGCCAGAACAAATTTGAACACGTTTGGATTGTTCAGCCCTTACATATCATCAACCACAACCGAGAAATCCCAACAGAAAGAACTCGCACCTTCTCCAGCGTTGCCGTGCCTCCAGACCTTTGGGTATTAGGCCCAAAGAAAAAAGTAAAACATCGACAGGCTCCAATTCCTCGGACGACGTTGCCAAGATGCTTTCGCCGACCCAAGAGCCCGAAGGGCCATTGCAAATTGCGAAGAAATCCCGCTCTACCAACTACGTCCTTTGGGTGGCGGACGCATGGGGACGCATGGATTTGACTATGAATGTCTCAGGTGCTGGAAGCATTCCGCAGTCCTGTGCCTTCATTCTCAACCATGGCTTTGAAGAACAAGGCCTGCATCAAGGACCATCACCAGCAAATGCACACCCACAGCAGGTTGTAAGAACTGACTCAGTCACACAGTTTGACAAAATAACTGCCACAAACTACCAACCAATCAGTATCTGCCCCGCCTTCGATGACGCCGTCTTCTCCACAAATCGTGGATACAAGCACCCATGCCTCTTCATGAAAACCCTTTCTCACTTCTACTCCCAATAAACGAAAATGGACAGCACTGAGCAGGGATTTGCGCTGAGCTTCAAGCTAAAGCTTGCGATGCTCGTTGTCACCAAGGAAGGCATTGAGGAGATGCCGCTGGGCTGACTTCCTGCACCTGCCATGGAGAGTTTGCCAACAGTCTTGTTAGAAGTTCTCTGCCACTGACCTTTCGGTAGTTTTGACCAGCAAATGCCAAATGTCTTTTGCAGTTTTGGACATCCTGTCACAAGCTGCCTGAAGCTTTGTATGAAACCCTGCGGTCAAAGGAGGTGCTTAGATATTTCTGTAGGTTGTGCTCCAGGGTTCCGAAACAGCAGAGCAAGCCAAACCAAGCAACAGCAGAGCAACCCAGAACTTGAAAGAATTCTCACACCCGATGACAAACCTGGCAAGCGCATTCTGATGGTCACCCCGGCATTCGGGAGCTGAGTGAAGCTCCACCTTATCCATTCAACAGGTCAATCAAGAAATCCTGCGGGTGAAGACATGTTCAGTCAGTGTCTGAGACTTTGACATCATCGCAGCGTGGAAAAAGGAAATTGCGCCGCTTGACTGCTGGATTGCGGCGACAGGCCATCTTGGAGGCCAAGGCTGGTCGTGGGGGAACCCAACACGTTCTGGTCTCATCAACCACCTCTGAAGCACTGCCGCATCCTTTTGCCACCGCACACGCTTCAAAACTTAAACAAGCATGGGCCATGGGTCCCAAGCAAAGCGCAAGCTTGGATTGGAAATGAACCTCCTGCTGATCAGTGCAATCAAGTTTGCCGGCATTGTTTACATGAAGAATGAATCGGTTCTCAAGATCACTTTGGTGGTTCAACATCAATCCATCCACTTGAAAATGGGAACAACAAAATCGGCAAATGGGCGCTGACTGGCCTCCTTCATCTTGCATCTACATTTTAGTGAGCATCAAACTCTGAATTGCGATGCTCCAATTCATGAGACCTCCGACGTTGCAGCATCATTTCGGGCACCGTTGCCTCGTTTCTGACAACTTCCTCTGCAGCTCTGGGACTTCCTGCGTCTTTGGCTAAAGCAATAACACCCCACATAGCAATCAGCATGGAGCCGGCCACACTAAGCGAATCAGTTGGCTCATGCAAGAGGGCAGTTTGAAAGACGAAGGCAAAGACCACTTGCGAGTAGTTCATGGCAGTAGCTTTCGCAGCTGTCTCCAAAGTCAGCCCCAAGTTCATGAGCGCTTGCCCGGCGACTGAGAAAACAGCCAGCAACACGAGCAGTGGCCAATCTCTCTCAGTGTGCCAGCTCCACTTCTCACCTGATACATAGCTGCATATAGGGCCCAGGACAATTCCAGCTGCGGCAAAGTAGTTTACGAAAACCATAGGGTGCACGCCTCACACATGCTTGCAAGTGTCCATCAACTTGCTTGCGCAAATGTGCCATTATGCCCACCACTAGACCCAAAACCAATCGGAGCATCATATCCGTGCAAACGTACTCATAAGATACACTTTGCAGGCTCTCTGCAGCATGTAGTATTGCAAGGTTTCTGGGTACACAGCAATCTTCCACTGAGCACAGAAACACAGTCTTGCTCTGGAATAGTGTGCGCACAAGGGCTGTTGTATATGGCCTATTCAACCGACCTACAATCTTACAGTAAGACTTGAAAAGCTAGTACGCTTTTCAGCCGGCGCCTTTCAGCACGCGCACCAAGAGGTACACAGCACTGCTCATGACCGCAGCAATGATGGCTCCAAGGAGTCCATTCAATGGAATGGATTCGGCTGGGAACCCGAAAAGGCTCATCACAAAGCCCGGCTTGCCTCCACATAAAACATATCAAGCACAGGACTCCGCAAATATTGAGTCATCTCCTTCCTTCCTTGCATCTTAGTTTGGTCTGAGTCATTTATGTGTTGATTGTATCTTTCTTGTTTTTAACACCAAGATACTGATGAGCACGACTCCAAACATGCACAGCACGCTTCCAAGGGCATCCAATCGACCCCAAGCTTCGCCCAGCAGCAAAGCAGCGGCCACGGCCGTAATGACGGGGCTTGTATAAGTGATAACAACTGCATCACTCAGCCTGCATGGCCGGCTTTCGTTGCTGGCGTATATAACTTGAATTCGGATTGTTTGTGCAAGGCAAAAAAACAGTCCGTCGAACTTTGAGGCACTCACGGCAAATGCTGGATTGCATAATAATAGCCACCTCAGCGGAGCTGAGTAGCTGTGGAACTGTATTGCAAACACGAGCCAATCACAGCCAAGCCACTCATGAAGCCAAAGCCTGCCGCAGCTCTCACCCACAATAAGACCCGACTTCCGCTTGGGCCCAATGGGTTGATTCCCTTTGCTGCCAAAATTGACATTGTACCTGCGGAAATGCGATGGGTCTCTCAAACAGTCCCAGGTTCCCTGGCTGAGAAAACCAGACGAAAACACACACACAAATAGAAAATAAATAAATAAATACATTAAAACAAACAACAACAACAACAACAACAACATTCGCGCCTGCAAACATGAAAACCGAGCGCCAGAAAACAAGCTCATAAGTTCCGAAACTGTTCAGGAGCTTTACAATCAAGGCCATCAGAGAAAAGAAGAAGGCACCGGCTATCATCGCCTGCTAATCCCAATTGTCCAAAACAAAAGCTTGCCAAAACAAAAGCAAATGTTGATGATAGTCAGGAGTCAAGACTGTCTTTGACCCTGGTCATGACAACAATGATGATTGGAGCATCGCCTCTTCTACAGCTTGGCTGCAGCTCGTGCAGAAACTGACATTACAGTATTCTCAATAAATTCCTCACCAAGCAGCCAAAAGGCCAGGAGACAGTCGTTGAGGCTGGGGTTTCTCCCGTGCCAACAGAGGCTTGTTGCCATCCATGGCTAGAAGGTGCAACTGGTTTTCAAACAAGGCCCAAGGCCCAAGAAGACTCATGGTCCTCGAAGCATGTCTTGTTGATCTGCGAATGTCTACATAATATCCCATCAGCATCCGAAGCTTATCCTCAAGAGCCAAAACCGCTCCCTTGTCATTGCACGGACTTGTCAAGTCGAATCAAACAAAACCAAATATAAAAAATTTACCCGTCACCAGGCATGGCTACCTTAGAGCTAACGGGAGGTGTTGCGAAGTTAGCACAATTCTTCTGCAGAAACAGTTCAGGAAACACTCCCTAGCCAGCAGGACTACGCATGTCTGCAAACATAAGGCCAAAGAATATATGACGGAACATTTCTCAGATTGCAGGCGGCTACACCTTCAAGCTTGCTAGGGCCAGAAGAGTACTCGAGAACAGGTCGTTGAGGGTAATTAGGCCTTCATCATGGCAAGGAACAACTTGAGGAGATTGGGGAACCAGAAGAAAGGACCGAGGAGAAAACGCTTGAAGCCGGAGCTTTGAAGGGTCATCAGCTGTGCTGACAGTGACTCAGTGACAATGTAGCGTTTCCAGGACACCCTTCAAACCCAGCCAACAAGATCCGTCTAGAACTGTCCGAAACTCATACCGCAACGTCACTTTCATGTGGCCCTGCTTCTTCAAGACAGGCAAGAAGGACATGTGGCAGAGAAACTCGCTCGTAATTAAAGATAATTTAGTAAATAAGTTACAAAAACCCAGCGAGTCTAACCTCAAGAGAGTTGATATTTATAGCCTAGCTTGAAACGCACAGGGCCCCTGAAACCAACGTCACATCAAAATGAACCTAGACAAAACAAGTCATCTTAGCAAGATGTCCGGCGATGCCAGCGATGGGTTGAGCGGTAAGCTTGTGCAGGTGATGAGAAACGGTTGTCATCCTTAAAATCGCAGTCATGAATTAGCGAGCACATGCAGTCGGAACATATTGGAAGTAAGCAGATTCATAGTTGATTAACAGGATCGTCAGCCTCAAAGCAGATTGTCTACAGTAAATAACTAGTGTGTGTCAAAACAACTTTGAGCAAGTTCACGCTTGCCGACATACAATCAGATGTCTCAAGTTGATGTGTTCAGCTAGATGCTTTTCCCAGCCATACCCTGCAATGAAGCAACGTACGTCATCGCAAAATATCGCAAACTCAGAAGTGGCCCTTTTCTTGCTGTCTCTCGGAAGCTTGTGAAGGGCAAGGTCTAAATTCATCATCTTCTCCAAATATGTACTTGCAAGCAGATTTGGCCGCGAGCCTTCCAAACACCAAACAATCCAGCAGCAAGTTGCCTGCCAAAGCTCTCTTGCCATGGATTCCACCAGTTGACTCGCCCGCGGCATAAAGACCCGGAACGGGCGTCCCATCATTTTTTAGAACTTCGGCTCGCGCGTTGATCTTTATACCCCCTGAGCAGTAGAGGATCACTGGTGTCACTTGCGCCACATGAAATGGCTCGTCTGCAACTCTGGATCCCACCAAGACATGTTTGAAATCGCACTTCCCATATCCAGTCTTTCCGCTTGTCTCGTCCCAGGAACGCCTTCCGTTCAAACATGGCCAAGGGCCAGCCTCTGCTGCGCGCAACGTGTTTCGAAAGGCTTCGGCATGAGCGTCGTGCACATCGATTAACTTTCGCAATGGGATCTTCATATCCTCTGCCAAATCTCTTCCAGATGCATAGCATTTCATCAGCCTTCGACTAATGTGCGATCGACATTGCCACTGCAATTCTCGGGTAGCTGCTGTGTTCAAGCAAAGCCGAAAAGGTCCAGGGTTTTTCTGCATCTCTGCAACAATGTGCTCCTTGGCTTGCAAGAAACCCGCAGAAAATAAACACTCCTGTCTGATTTCGACTTGTGTTTCGAAGGCCCTAGCAGCAAAACTCGTCAATCAACATATGTCTGGTTTTCCTTCCTTATGATAGATTTAAACACTTCGCAAAGCGGCGAGCTTCCTCGCCATTAGAGCGAGAAACACTCGGTGTTCAAACTCCTTTCCTTACAGGCCTGGTCCTCGTCACCCCTTATCATGGACCCTGACACTCCAATGATCTCCGGTGCATGGGATTGTTGTGCTACTTGTGGAATTGACCATTCTATACAATGCTATACAGAAGTAAGAATCCAGTAGTATGTGTTTGCGATCCTCTCGGCCTTGCTGGAATTATAATACACAAGAATATCAGCAAGCTTGTATGGGAACCTGTGTGCTTGTTTCAACCATCTTTATCATTCTTTCCAAGTGGCAGCTGGCCCGAGCTCATTGCAAAAGCGATCACCACTACCATTCAGCAGCAAGCCCCCAGCAAGACGAAATGATTCTCCGGCAAGGACCTGCCATGGCGCCAATCACTGGTTACAGTAGACCCTTGATGCAAAACGGACCGTTTGGAAAAACATGAGCGAGCGGGCACCTTACGCTTGGCAGTTGCATCATCTTCCTGTACCAACCTTGGTAGCTGCGGACAGTGGCTTTAAGAATGTTTACAGACGACCAAACTGTTCAAAAGAATGGTTTGCTATCTCGCCACCAAAGTAACCCTGTAGGGTGGAGGTGCACCCACTCCAAATCAAGCGTTTGGGCACCAGCCTGCTCCCCTTAGCTTCTGTACGTGACACCAGCGTTTGAATGGAGCCATGCAGCGGTGGCCCAGAATGACAATACTGCAGGCAGCGAAAAATATTGATTAAGTTTCAATCAATCACCCAAAAATAAGTTTCAACAAGTGAAACTGAAAGGCCGGATTTGAGATGGTGTCTTGCAAAGTGTGATCGGCAGCAGGTCAGCCATTGGGTGGACTGGTTGCAGCTGTTTTGGCCTTTTGTATTTGCTGGTCAGACTAGATGTACACACTACGGGTCACATGATGCGGGTCGTTTCTATTGAGGTGTGCCTGCTTCAAACGGTTTCTCGCAATCCTATTTTGGCATCAGCCGCAGGGAATAAAAAAAAAGTGAGCTGACGTGCAACATAATGAGGTGATATGAAATAAATAAGTGAAAAAATACTTGGGAGAGGCGAGAGATACGAGGGCGCTAAGGGAAGAAGCAATGCTGAGGCCTTTTTGGCAGCGCAACATACCCCAATCCAACGAAGCCTTGTTTGACTAAAGATTTGAGATTTTAGACTACGGCACTAGGTGTGCCCCATTTTTAACATTGCCTTGGTCATCTCCGGTGCTTCATTCAGGACGGGACCTGGGGCCCAGCACACGGGTGAAACGAAGCACTTGAGGTGATGGAGGTGGACGAAAGGTTGAGTTTGGCAGCGGCAAAGCATCAGCAGCAGCAGCAGCAGCAAAGCAGGAAACCGATGAGGAATGACATGGAGCGACCTTGAAAAGAACTCACACAATTTTGGCCTGCGCAAACAAACGAGGACCACACCAGCAGCAAAGCAACAACAACAAGCAGCAGGACCACAGCAGCAGCAAAGCAACAACAAGCAGCAGCAGCAGCAGCAGCACCAGAAGCAGCAGCAGCAACAAGAAGAAGCAGCAGCAGCGGCAGCGGCAGCGGCAGCAACAACGACAACAACAACAACAACCACCACCTCCACAACCACCACCAGCAGCCAGCAGCAGCAAGAAGCGAGCAGCAAGCAGCAGGCAACAAGCACCAGGCAGCAGGCAACAGGCAGCAGCAGAACCAGGGGCAGAACCAGCGGGTATAACAAACAGCGAACGCTTGCTCCAAAATCACAACCTCAAAAATGTTTTTTTTCTGCGCTCCTCGATGTTCCTTGTTGGGGCGTGAGAGTCGAACCGCCGAGGTGGGCCCAACTCTCTGATATATCAGGCCTTATCCTTTATCACTCAGGTCCGGGCTTCCCACCCCTCCTTGCTAAAGCAAGACAGACTCCAGCTAGCTACAGCTCGTGATTAGGGCACACAGAACTTATGAATTCAACCAAGGCACCGAGCTTCAGCGCATCTCCGGCGGAATGCTCAGTGTTGGCCGTAGGCCAATTTGTGAGGTCAGGCCTCTGGCTCACAAGAACAGATCCAGGTCCGCTGTCTCCTCCAAAACCGCCTGGAGAAAGTGCACGGCGCCTCTTCATTTTGCCAATGTACCCAAAGCAAAAATCTCCCAACCAAGCCCTCAAAGGATCTGCAGAACCTTTTCTCTTGGGAGCTTAGAGCAGTGCGTGGGTCTTCTGGACCGTGTCGCACCCCTTCGGTGAATCCGGCACGCTTTTCTGGTCCGCTGGGTCCTCGGTCGGCTCACGGGGGGCCGCGACCCGCGCAGGATCTGGGGAGCGTCCCCGAACAGGCGCTTCAGCTCAGTGCGAAAGTCGCCCTGACCAAGGATCGCGGCGCGTTGCACGCCACCCATCGGTCGCGCAAGCGAACATGGTGGAGCCTACCGTCCGCCCCCTGGAGGCTATCATGGACAGTGGGCCAGCAACTTGGCCAGAAGTAGTCGCGCCTGGGACCTTGTTTGCTGGTTGGCATTTATGGCCACCGCTTCTCCTTCAAGTACACACGGCGCAGTCGCAGTCTCCCCTTGACTGTGAACTCCAAGCGCCGAGGAAAGCATGGGCTGCTTTCGTGGCAGCAGCAGCAGCCAAGCTGCCACACTGAAGGCCCCCGGCCTGACGCTGTTCTACAACCACCTCCAGCATGAGCACGATGCCATGGACATGAGGACTTGGGCCCAAGCGGAAAGCGGCCCGACGCTAGGAGCTCACCCTTGTGGACCTTCATGGCCCAGAGCGCTTCTGGGCCTCTGCATCCAGGCCTGAGGCGCCAGTACTATCGGTTCCCACCACGGAAGTTAGCTTGAGGTCTGACAGCAGCTTGGGAGTCCAGCGCACCCGGGCCGCCGCATTAAGGTTGGCTTGCGGGGGAACATCGCACAGCGATGGCGCACCGGCCCAGCGCTGTGGCCTGGGCCTTCATCTGCAAGCGTAGTTCCACGATCTTGGCCCTCCAACTAACACGAACGCATGGATTGCTTGAAGTCGATGAGGTTCACCTTTGGAGAAGGTTGCCACCCACGCTGCCAGGCACAGCGCGCATCCCTTCTTGGAGGGGGTCAGCAATCTTGAGGATGGAATATCTGAAAGGACTGGGAGGTGTCCTGTTCTTTCAGGCGGGCAGCATGGGCAGCCGCCGTCGTGGTGATCCTTCATGGTCCGCCGACAGGGTCTCCTGCCAGATGTGGACGCGGCAATGGTTGGGCACTCATTGCAATCTCCGCCGGCAAAATGTCCAGCATTGATGGCGCGCACCTCTTTGAACTTGGCCTCCCCAACAGAGGGATCACCGCTGAAGAAGGCAGAAGAGGAGAGGCTGAAGCTTGAGCAAGAGAAGAAACATGAAGAAGAAAGAGTGAAGAAGGAAGAAGAGGACAGGCTGAGGCTTGAGCAAGAGAAGAAACAAAAAGAAGAAAGAGTGAAGAAGGCTGAAGAGGAGAAGAGGCTCAGGCTTGAAGAGGGGGAGGGGCAGAAGAAGAAGAAGAAGATGCGTCGCGTTGGTCCCCATCGTGGAGGAGGTGTGTGGCCGTCGGGCGCTTACATGTCCAGCAGGAGGTATATAGCCGCTGCAGGTCAGGCGCAAAGCATGCCGCGCACATGTCACGCCAGGCGATCTGCCTTTGAGGCGCTCCTTGCTGGCAGAGTCCAGGCCAGAATGATCCCTCTATGGGCTGCTGCATGAACTGCTTAGGTGGCCCGGGATAGCTGGGAAGAGGGCGCCGGTTGGTTGAGGGCTTAACTCTTTGGACCCCACGTCTGGGGAGCATCGACTGGAGCACAGCATTGAAGATAGGGGTGCATGCTTAGCCCCGATCCTTTTGTGCCTGCCGGATGAAAAGCGGTGTGACTCGCAAGTTTTGATCAATAATTGGCATTGTCATGAGCCATGTAGGCATGCGTTTGTCCGAGCGCATCTATGCATCCTCCTGCAACGTGACCGCTTCCCCACTCTCCATTGCAAGAACATGATTTTGCCCGGACCGAGGTGTACGTCCCAATCTTCTCCGAGAGCTCAGGCATGACTGTTGTCTGGGAAGCCTATCGAGTGGTTAGCATTTTGTGCCACTTTGGACCGGAGCCCACCAATGGACATTACTAATGCCTCTACATCAGTTCAGGAAGCTCCTGGCTCACAGACGACAATCGGACTGCCACCCTGTGTCCAGTGATGGATCCCTTGCGAAGGGCCGCATACCTTTATTGGTTGGTTCCTCATGATGAGTTGAGCATGTGGTTGGCGCCGCCCGATCGAACAGCGCCGCCCCAACGACGATTTGTCGGATCTCCTAGCTACGGCTTTTCCATGATTTTGAAGCAGATTGCTCGTGCGTGAGGCTAAGATACTCGCGAAGCACCCATGGCACCATGCCATACAGCCCAACACGGGCCTGACTCGATTTAGGCTGGAAGTGAATGAATGAATGAATGAATGAATGAATGGCATGGCATGGCATGGCATAGAATGAAATGAAATGAAATGAAATGAAATGAAATGAAAGAATGAATGAAAGAAAGAATGAATGAATGAATGAATGATATATTATATGGTATTTATTTTTTAGTTTTGATATGATGTATTAGTTGCAGTAATAATTTAACGGTTGGGAATGAACATCTCAAAGCGAACCATGTTCGGCTGGTCCCCCCGCAGGCTTGAATCGGATCGGTTGGGCCACCATTTCCACCGTGGTAGCACGTTGGCTGGCCGCTGTTGGGGAGCTGTGTCAGCAGCAGCCGACATTGCAACGGGCATGTCCGGCGTAGGCCAGGCCTCTGCTCCTCCCCTGGGTCTGTGAGGTGAATGTGGGTGCCGTTGGGGGTGTCGGTGCCACACTGACCGGCCATTTCTCAACTGGCACAACCTCAGCCGCCATGAGGGCATCCAGAGTGCCCCCCCCAACGGAAGCAGTAGGGGGCTCAGCCTCAGGCAATTTGAGCGCCCCCAAATCCAAGTTCCCCACGAAGGTGAGGGCAGCAAGGCCCGAATCAGGGAAGAGGCCTGGACGGCCTCTTCGTTGAAGGTGTCCATGTCAGGCTGGAGGTCGTGTCCGCACCAAGCGTCTCACCCTTATCTCGGATCTCAATCAAAGCGAATCCCGCATCCACTGGCGAAGCCATTGCGTGTTGAGAGGGGATCGCGCTTCACAAGTGCAGCATCACGGCACTGCAATCTCACTTGAGCCAAAATGTCCCGGTGGGACATTTTGGTGACTTTTGTGAACATAAAGCTTGCACACACGCTACATGCAAGTGTGAATATGAAAGTGTGCTGGCCGTGTTGCACTGCTACAGCTGCTACAGCACACAAGGTTTGATTTCTCCGGGAATCTTGAGGATTGTCCCCAAGTGTCCAAGCCGGAACAAAATCAGGACACAAGTCCAGAACTGCGGTCTTGACGCCGCACCCACCCCAGACTCTTATGGTACTGGTAGAGAGGTTGCTGCATGGTACGTCAGCACTTTAAGCATCTGCGTTTCTAAACTTCGTCGTGTCTAGATCAGCCTTCACTTTAGAAAGTTGGCACTAGCTGAGCAATCAGAGGCGCATGATCGCTGGCCGCTCCCCAGGCACCCATGCCTTTCAGGTAACAAAATGCAAAAACTTCAGACACCTGGATACATGGCCCGCCTACTCTATCAATGGATGCTTGCACCACAGACCTGCAGGATTCGGAAAGAATGTGGATTGGTTATGGGAAACTATGGAAAACTGGACTGTGCATCAACCCTAGTATGCTGCCATACGCTTCAACAATTCCTTCTGAATCACGCACCATTGCCCTGCAGAGGCCAGGATGAAGTCGACCCTGGCTGCATGGCTGAAAATTAATTGACAGGGGCGGCCCTGCTCGGAGCGCACCTTTCAATTCTATGTGTGAGCACGGTCATTCAAAGGCTCGAAGCATGCGAGTGGAATAGAAGCCGCCAGCACGGAAGTCAGCACTACAAGCATGATGGCGCCACAATGGGGGCGATGCTAGACAAACCGAACACAGAAAAGCGTCTATATATATCCCCACCAAATGCGTGGCGAAGTCAACTGTCAACCTGCCCCATGATGCCTTCCACACCTGCAGGAACTGATGCATGAGTTGGCATCTCGATCCAGAAGGGAGGTTGCATTTCCAACTCTTCGCAGCAATTCCTTTAATTCGTGCACCACACCACCAGGTTCGATTCTCGAAGCAGATACGTTCCGGAAAAGGACAATGCTTTCTTTGGGGAGGCAATCCAGAGGGTTTTGCATTCTGTTTTCGGTTTACCCCGAAGTCATACAACAAAGCCATTTCGGAACACCATTATGCATTTCTAACAAAGAAGATGTTAATACGTTGCATGGTTGCAGAATAGGCGAAGCATTGAACCCAGGTCCTGGAAACCAGGCACAAGAAATTGTCTTTACTATTCTCAATCCTACGAGTATACCAGAAAGACATGAAGACATTGTCAATCTAAACACAGACTGTATTTCACTAGTTGAGACTTCCGCTACGTCAGCAGTCCAAGCGGAATTTACAAAGTTTTTGAAAACAACCAATTATCGCATCCCATGGGGACCGCCAGTTCCGAGTCAACGGCAACTAAGTAACCCGTTTCTTCATGACAATGCCAAACGAGGCGCTGCCTTAGGTACAGCCTCCTTGTTCCGCATTCCCCATCGGACCCCCAGAATCAATCTGCCCACATGGCTTGAAGAAACATTAAGGGTTTCGCAACAAATCGTTGTTATCGGACATATTGAAGTACTACTGATCACGGCATATTTTTGCTGGCAAGACACATGACGCCAAAGCAAAGAGTGACTATTTGCTTGCAGAAATATACCAAATATGTTCAGCCACTAACCTCCCTTTTCTGGTAGCAGCGGATTTCAACAATCCGGTCCGAGACTTCCCAGCATATCGCGCCTTTCAGAACATTCGATGTCAAGAGGCATTTCATTTGGCAGAGATGACTCTGAACAAACAACTCCCCCCTACATGCCGCAATAGCACACGCAATGATAGCTCTATTATCCATGAATCCTTGATACCATGGATACAAGATATTTGGGTAGGAGAAGGCAACATATTCCCAGATCACAGTCCCTTGTCTATCAGGTTTCGTGTTCCAGGAAATCAATGCCTCCTCAAGAACTGGTTCATGCCCCCAAGTTGGGGAGAAATTCCTCTCAAGGGAGAAGTGTTTTCCAGACACTACGCAAGAGTGAGAACGCGATTCCAGCCCAAGAGAACACTCGATACTGAAGATGACATCAACGCAGCATTTACAAGCTGGTCCAAGGGGGTAGGGTCAGCAGTGCAAAGCACAATTAGAGAACAACACATGCAAGACCCCTTACACTTCCCACGACCTACGCTAGGCAAAAAGTATTATGGGAGATGCAGACCTACAAGATACATCACGCATGTGGCACCAAGAACAGTGAAGCCTGATAAAACTGCAGCCTATGAACCCCCCACAGAGATCACATCCTTTAAGGCCAGATGAAAGTAAGACAGGTCCAACGAATCGCGTCCTTGTTACAGCATTGCCGTAAGTTGAAACCACATTCAGAGAACAATACACTTGTACAACAACTTCAACATGAATGGAATACCATTAAGCAAGCGCAGGGTTTCGGTCGTTCCTGGGCGGCATGGATTTTGAGCTTCGAATTTGTAACTCATATCCCAGTAAATATACCCACGGCCGAATGGCTGCAAGAAGCATTGCAGCTCACTCGCTTTGAATCCGATGCATACGCACGTCAAGAACTACATTTGCGTAGGCACCACAAACGCCATGCCATTGAGTTTGCAATGTCGCATACAAACAATTCGCAAGATATTTATTAAAAATAAAGATCAGCAATTTCTACAGGATATTCCTGTCAAACACGAGGCCATCCTTTGTCGCAGCAAAGGTCGTACAGAAAAGCCAATTCCAGTCTCCGTAGGACAGATATGTTTCGGATCCAAGGCGGAAGTCCTCTCAGTTAATGATACCCGTATGGTCTTAACCAAAGTCCAAGGTGCAGTGCCAGCCAAGGCCAAGGCCACGGTTACATTTGATTCGCACGCATATACCATCGCCCCCATGTCAGATGCATTCCATCGCTATTGGGCGCAGTTTTGGTTGAGAGACTCAGTACACGATCAAGAATCAGATGAACCATGGTCAGACCTTTTTCAAAGACTGGATGACATCATACCGACACAGGATACACTTGATCTCAAGTATGATTGCCCCCATCGACTATGGGAATCAATCCACAAATTAAAACCTTATAAAGCTATAGGTGAGGATGGGTGGCATTCTGAGGAGCTACAAGCCCTCACTTGGGACATGGTAGTAGACCTCTCGCATATCCTGTCCCTTACTTGGTCACATGGGCATACATCACAACACATGCAAGCCAGAACGCTATTGTTTGCCAAATAACCACAGCCGGAAAGCATCTCGGACGGCAGACCAATAACTATCCTCGGATACTTGGCCCGACTCACGTCGAAATTAATAGCCGACCAAGTACTTAAGCAATGGACTAATCTCTGGCCGCCTGAAATAAGCGGGGGACTTCCCCATCGTTCCGCTAGAGATCTCAGTTTAGTCCAGATGCTCCAAATCGAAGAGGCTCGAACCCACCGCTCAGCGTGGTGTGGGTGGACCATGGACCTGGTCAAAGCATTCAACCTAATCCCACGCCGTGTTGTAAGGTATGTCTTTGGCCTGTTAGGGATCCCACATTGCATAGGTGATTTTTGGTTCAAATCGCTCCGTAGGCTGACCAGAGTTCTACAATGTGGCCAAGCAATTGGCCCAGCGGCACTTTCCACCACCGGCCTACCAGAAGGGGACTCTATGTCCGTAGTTGGAATGCTGGCACTTGGCTTTGTATTTCACCATGTCATCAAAACGCCACAAGTTCATCCCTACACATATGCCGACAACTGGTCATTCATGTCGACGTCAGAAAGAGAGACTTTTCGAGCTATGGTCAAGATCCTTAATTTGGTCCATGAATTGCGCATGAAGAT